AAAACATTTCATATTAAATTTTGTTTGTAAAATGAAACGTTTACTGTTTGAAACATGTAATACTTGCATTACAAATATTGATAAAGATGAAATTATAAATGACATTCCTAATGCACTTTCATTTTAGAAATTTATTTTACTACACCAAGTTCGATTTAAAAATTTCATTGTTTTGTTACTTTTTTCTTACAAAAGTGATAGAGATTTTTACCTGGAATCAAATTTATATCTTTTAAAATATCTATTTCTTTGTTACTATTACCATTTTCCATTTTTGGTAAGTTGTCAATAATAATTTCTCACAACAGTCTATTGAACGACACTTTCAAGAGGAAAGGAACCTAACAGTAACAGAAAACACGAACATCTCACGTATTGAGTGATTCCCGCCAAAATCATGTTCCTATATTATGACACGCACAAGTATACATATATATGTATGTATGTATGTATATATATAGATGTGTATGAGTTTGTGTGAAAAAAGGTAGCCAACTATTAAACTGCTCAAAAATATACCCCACGGCTGTATATTTGTTGTGTGGATTCTTGCGAAATTTGAGGGAATTATCACCCGTGAAGCGCTAAAGCGCTCTGTTCATGATCGTTTAGTAAATTTAATGAATGAGAAAATGTAACGTTGAATCTTTTATAGAACAATAAATAACTTGGTAAAAACAAGGATAAACGAAATGTTTTAACTATAACTTTTATTACGAAGCAATACGTCTGGACTCTTTGAGCGAGGAAAAACGAATGAATCTTCAGGCGTCGTCGATATTCAAATTTAATGTTAACATGTTTTTGTTAAAGAATAGTCTCCAATTAAATTAAAGATTCTATATAAGATTATTTGAGGATGGATTTGATTGGTATTCTTCATTTGTTTATTAATACATATTTCCTTTAAAGTGAGTGCTTTACACCTCAGCAATGTTTCTGTGCATAGCGACGACGATGAACATTTATCTAAACGAGCAATTGTAAATAATAATCAATGAAATTTTACAGTACATTATATGCATATGTTATCGAGTTCTTTTATTCATTGCTTCGGTTACATCGCTGCACAATTTGAATTCGGCGCGCTTTAGTATTCACACTACAGGACACTACATTAGCCACATAACATATTGAGTCTCATCAATTCTTGCCGAAACTCTAGTGCTATTGCATTCACACAGCGACAATGGCCTATGTGTAATGACGTACGATATGTACAATGGCGAATGGTGTCTCACAGAACTATCACCGCTATGTATTTGTTCTAGGTCTAGGGATTCGGCAAGAATCGATGAAACTCTGTATTTACCTACTCTAAATATCTAAATATCTAGTACTCTAACATCATAATATGCTAATAAAGAAAAAGTAAAACGTAAATAGTTTTGTTTTAATCATAGATAGAATTTAACAATAAATTATTTTTAAACAATTAATTAAATATGAAATAAACGTAACAAGCTAATAAAATTAAATATGTTAAAAGTTATAGAAAGCATTAAATTATTATTGCTTGGTATTTTTCTTTTACATTTAACTATATTTTTCAATAACAAACTGTATGCATATACGTGTGTAATGAATAAGTAATTAGAATGATAAATTTACACTAGATTAAAATACATTTTTTACAAAGAAATAAGAAGATTAATAACTTAGAAACATTTTAGTATTTTCGAGTATGCCGTTCATTATTTATAAAGCACCGTTTATGTTGGAAATACTGAAAGAGATATATAGTTCCTGTTACTTTTAGTGGTAGGGAAAAATTATTGTTAGTGTATATATGATACTTATTCACTAGCGGTCGTATTGTATTATTGCCTACAAGGGTTTAGTAGTATTCAAAAGTGTGTATAATGCTGCGCATATTTGTGTGGCATTGTTTCTTTTCAAAATATGAATGACAGCATATAATTACACATATTAGCAATTATGAAAATCATTTATGATACAAATAATTAAATATATGCTTAGAAACTCATAATGAACAAAGTTTCGTGATTAGGAGTCGATCACTTAAATGTCAAAAATTAAAGCATGGATGTTACAGAAAGTGTTGATGAAGCTTTAGATCCTCGTATACAGGTAATTGTTTTTAATGACATGTTTTTTTTTGTTATTATGTTGATAAATATATCTTTTAAGAAGTATTTGTTTGTAATAGGTTATATGCATAAATAAATATGATTACTAAACGCGATCGTAACGCCTAATACAGCCTGGTACGATGTTCTACTTTGCTTTCACTTTGTTTTCGTTACAAATTTTCGTTGTGTAGGAAACATAAATTTATTATTTAGTTGTAAATTGCAATCTTAATAATATTCTTGTGTTAATTATTCGCTATACTGTATCTAATTTCATGAATAATGTGTAACATGCTGTGACATATTTTTGCACCTTGAATGTTGTTGATAATTAATTAGTACTTTAATTATTAAGTATTAATTGTTACTTTTATCTATTGTAATTTTTTAATCATAGATATTTATTAATCACTATCTTCCATGAAATATATCCTTTTACTTTCTGTACCTACAGACTATGTTACATGGTTTGAAAATTTAACTACTTTTTGTTGAGCAAAGAATTTTTTCAATAATAATATAATTA